ACATGAAGTTCCTCGGTAAGATAACTTGTGGGGAGAGTCAAGGGAGGTGATGCTAATGTTGTCATAGTGCGTACGTTGTAACAACCGGGCCACAGATCTCGGAGGAGGATATTTCGAGCTGGCTGGAAGACAAGGGAATAGCCGATGAGCAACAGCTCCGTGGCGGAGTTGTCTTCATCAAGGAGGTGCCACGGTCGGCACCAGGGAAAATCCTGCGCCAGGATCTGCGGGCCATGTACGTCGATGCATAGGAGGTGAAGACTTGACTACGGCAGAAGGGTCCGATGGGGGCGAGGCCCAATTAACGAGCGGGCGAATAACGGGATTGAAGAAGCAAAACCGGGAGATGAAGCTGTTGGTGATGGTGGAGAGCTTAATGCCAAGAACCTTGCCAGAAGTTGCTCTTTCCAGGCGTGACCTGACAGTGGCTTCGTCTGAGGCCTTGCCACATGTGGCCTAGTAAGGGATGATCTTGAATTGGCTGTGGCGGTGCCCCTCGTGATGACTAACCGAAACACCAAGACCCCAGATCCGCATCGGATTCGCGGAGAGCGACGACGGATGGGCTCCAGGGACACGCAATTCCGCAAGCCCGCCAGCTCCCGCCTGGACACCTTCATTGACTTGACTTTGGCCTTCTGATTGATCATCTCGGGGCACATGAACCCAACTTGATTGCGACAGTTCTTTTGCTACCTTTGCGTTTGTCCTGTTGTAGCAGCGTCGATGGGCACTTGCTTTGTCATTCCCTTGTAACTTCCAACGGCAGCAAGGGCGAAAGAGGCCTCTCGATACTTCATATCTTCGAACCCTCTCAACCCCCTCCCCTTCTTCCAACAATCATCGCATTCACCCACCCTAGTCTATCCTTTGAATGGATGTTGATACACAGGACTCCTGAAGGCCCTTACGCTCGACACTCGACATATTTATTGCCTTCCCTAGACACAAGACGCCGACGCCAGCCATGCCGAACGATCGCGACCAACGGTACGATGCCGTGCCGCCAATCCCGAGCTACGATGAGGCCATGTCCAACCCCAACCACGCAGACTGGCCACCGCCAGGCATCACCGAATCCTGAGACCGAATCACACGGGCTCTTGAGCTCCCATAACAACGCTGCCTCGTCGTCATCACGACGACCCACCGGCTACCGAGAACCGACCGTAGAAACGGATGACGAGGACAGCCTGTTCTACAGCAGCGATGACGGCGACGAAACGGCCTACGTGCGGCGGGAGATGCAGGAGCTCGAGATGGACGACGCCGGCAACGCGAGACCCTCCCTATGGGGCAAGAGAATTCCCTTCTCCTTATCACTACCAAATTGGAAATGGTCCTGGCGACCGCGCTTGCCAAGGTTGCGACGCACCGTCATGCTGCCCCAGCGCCCGGCGGCCGACCCCTCGACGACAGCAAACGACGGCGACGCGAGCACAGAGCAGGAGACGGCGCGACCGCGCTTCCGGTGGCCCAACCTCGAGGGCGCCAACGGCAAGCACGCGGCCATTATACTGGTGCGCATCTTTGCGGGCTTCCTCGTCATGTCGTTTGTCTACTTGATCTTCATGAGCGACATCTTCTCGACCATGGCGCGCAGGTTCGGCACGGGCCTGCGCTTCGACCCGGAAGACGTGCGCATGTGGGTGCAGGGCCATGTCGAGAACGCGGCCATGCTCAAGACGGTCAAGCACTACACAAGCTTTGCTCATATTGCCGGCACCGAGGGCGACTATGGCTACGCTATGGACATGGAGACCATGTTCCACAGGGCGGGCATGGACTTTGTGCACATTGACCAGTATGACGTCTACCTTAACTACCCAAAGGCGAACGGCAGGGCGGTGGAGATTCTGGACGAAGCAGGCGAGAAGGCGACGTGGAAGGCAAAAATGGAGGAGAAGGAAGTTGGCGGGGAGATTGCAGGACACCAGACCTTTTCGTTCCATGGCCACTCAAAGGCTGGTGACGTCAAGGGTCCTCTCGTGTACGCTAACTACGGCTCAAGGGAGGACTTTGCGCTGCTGAAGGACAAGGAGATCATCACCGAAGGAGCGATTGCTCTGGTGCGGTACTACGGTTCGCAACCGGATCTGGCCTTGAAGGTGAAGGCTGCCCAGGATGCAGGCTTTGTAGGATGCCTGGTGTATAGCGACCCTGAGGACGACGGGTTCAGGCAAGGAGACGTGGCGCCAGCCGGCCGCTTCATGCCTGAAGATGGCGTTCAGAGGGGATCTGTCAGCTTGACGAACATGGTCATCGGCGACGTCCTGACCCCTGGATGGGGCAGCAAGGAGGGCGTTCCACGGATGAAGGTGGGCCAGACGCCCGGTCTTGTGTGGATCCCAAGTTTGCCACTGGCATGGCGAGACGCACAAGTGCTGCTGCAGCACCTCAAAGGCGTGGGCCAGAAGGTTCCTGAGGAGTGGAAGGGAGGTGTGCCCAATGTTGACGAATGGTGGACTGGCAACGCCTCATCACCGATTGTGCGTCTGAAGAACGAGCAGGACGAGGAAAAGAAGCAGCCGATCTGGAACGTTTACGGCAAGATTGAGGGCATCGAGCAGTCCGAGAAGACGATCATGGTGGGCAACCATCGCGACGCCTGGGCCTTCGGAGCAACAGACCCCCATACCGGTACCGCCATCATGATGGAGGTTGCGCGACTCTTCGGCATCTTGCTGCTAAAGGGCTGGCGCCCACTGCGAACCATCGAGTTCATGTCTTGGGATGGCGAGGCCTACAACATGATCGGCTCGACCGAATTTGTCGAAACTCACGCGGACAAGCTGCGCGAAAATGGTTGCGCCTATATCAACCTCGCCGGAGCTGTTGCTGGCAGCGAGCTCCACGCGTCCGGCTCACCCGTGTTCCAGTCTGTGCTGAACCGAATTCTCGAGCGTATCGAGGATCCCCACCACAACATGACGCTGCGGGAGCTCTGGGACAAGCGAGGGGGGAAGATCGAGGAGCCGAGCGTCCGCAGCGACTCTGTGCCGTTCCTGGACATTGCAGGCACCAGCACTCTCGACCTGAGCTTCCGTGGCGACCCACACCCGCAATACTCTAGCTACGACAATTTTGACTGGATGAAGCGCATCGGCGACCCAGGATTCGTGTATCACGGTCTGATGGCCCAGGTCGTCGCTTTCCTTTGCCTCGAACTGGCTGACCGCCCTATTATGCCTTTTGACATGGAGGCCTACGGCGTCAAACTTGACAAGTGGGCCGAAGAGCTCACCGAATGGTCAAAGGAGAAAATCAAGGCTGCCGGCCAGGAAAAAACCTTCTCCATTGATCCCATCAAGATTGCCATCCACGACGTCAAATCTGCGGCCAAGACATTCTCTCGCTGGAAAAGACATGGACAGCGTCGTCATGGGC